GAGAAATACTGCATAGGACCGTTACTGTAAAAGACTAAGAAAATGAACCCATACTAAAGGGCAGTGGGGGGGATTCTTTGCTGGTTGCTGGGATGTGTGGAGGGGAGGGAGAGGAAGGTGGAGCACAGGGTAGGGAATAGACACAGGATAGTTTGGGTGCTGGGAGGGGGACAATATACAAAAAGGGAGAGCGGGAATGGAAGAACAAAGAGGATGGGAGAACAAGTAGGCAGATTTGCACAGGCTAAGCAGGACAGAAGTAAATAATGATGTATGCACAACCTTGGAACAACAGAGCTCTGGGATACAGGGAATGAGACATGGTTGGAATGGGAAAATAACGTTAATATGCTTGGCTGTCTTTTGAATCTTGATTTTCCTTGCATTACATTATAGAATAGACACTGGAAGGGGAGAGAAAGGAATAGGCGGAAATATCACCATAGAAAGCTTGTAAGTCCGTCTTCTGCCTATAACTGATTGGAAAACATAAAATGGGGCTACCACGTGCCCAGAAAAGGAGGCTGCCTGTGGAGCCTCTGCATTACATAAGACCATAGGGAGAATCCTGAACAGCATCCAGAATCTTCAGAGGTGGGAAATTTCCTCTTGAAAGGATGGGCAGACCAGCCTGGAGCAGCTAGAGGAACAGAAGATACTTCTTGAAAGAAAGACTGACAGGAAAAATACAAAATAATATAGGCAGACCGACTGATGACAAGAACAAGCAAATTGCTCACCCAGGAGACATCAAAGCAAGTGGTCGGGTCCCCTCATAACAAACCCCCTTCCAAGACTAAGACTCAGTGGGAATACATGCTCTGATTGGTGACCACATTCGTCACCAATAAGGGGAAGTGAGGGAAAAATAGCAATGATGTTGCAAGCTAAGCCCTACAGTGTTCAATCGAGTCCTGTGAACCCGGGTGGAGACCTGGTTGGCCTGCAGTGTGGCAAGACCTGGGGAGACTCTTGGGCCCAGAGTCAGTGGCATAGCCACAGAGGACTAGAGTGGAGAGTGAAGCATCCAGCAAATAAAAAGTGAGGGATATGCACAAGAACACCCACACTTGTGGATAATATCCACTTGACCTAGCTTCAATGACTGGATGATCAAAGCGCAACTAGAAGAAGAATGAAGAGGAAAAAAAAGAGTAATCTGATATAAGGGAACGGCTCTTTACAGCAAGGTTCTTTCCCACTCCCTCCATACACAGAGTAGACAGGGATGGGCAACTTGAACATTGGCTATCAAAAATGAGGTGATACAAAGGCAAGAAGTGACTGGCTTACAAGCTTTCAAGAGGGAACCTAGATCCAGAGGGTGTGGAGGAAGGTAGAATCTCCACTGAGTAATATCCAATCTGTCTTAGGCAGGACTGCTGAAAGGAAATGCGAATCGGTCTCTTGTGATACAATGATGAATAATTATTATCAGAACTGATTATGAGGGTTGGAAATGTAAAGGTAGACCTTTTGTAGCAAGTAGGGGACTGATTAATTTTGCATTTTAGGAGCGGAGGTTCCTGGGACCATGAAGGCAGAAGAGTGGAGTAGGACCCTATGCAGAGAAGCAGTGATCCCTCAGATGGAGACAGAGACGATTACATGGAGAGATGGAGAAGCTAGGGACCCTAGACCCAAAGAGGTAGTTGGTCAAGGTGCTGCTCAGCACTTCGGCTCTGTGTCTTGGACTTGGGCATCCCAAGTTGTGTGAAGAGACACCAGCCACCTTCCTTGGTTGAGGATGGATATCCCATTAGAGAAGAGCCAGTGTTTTGGCTGCCCACAGCAGGACAATAAGGCCACCCTTTAAGCTTCTAGGTTGACCTGGGAAAACCAAAGACAAAAACAAGAGATGCATCCTCTTTAGCCTGCAGATCCCTCACAGTTTGGGCCTTGGAGCTGCATTTGCCCAGTCTGGTTGGAATCTGAAAACCAAGAGCCTGGGCAAAAGAATCTCAGCCATGAACAGCTCACCTGTGGTAGGGCTCTAGGCACACATGGAGCTCTGCACCAAAGGCTGGCTGGGAGACAGACAGATGTGGGGCTGCTGTGTCTCAGGACCATAAATGTCATGAGCCTTGAGAAATCAACGATTCCTATTTATAATCCCGAGCCACCAAAACCCACTGAGAGTTGATGCTGACTCACAGCTACTACAGGAAAGAGTAAAACCTCTTCCATTGGGTCCCTCCTGAGAGGAACTGGGCACAGTGTGGCAGGTGAACATGAGATGTTTAGACTGGGAAGCTCACGTGACCACATTTATCAGGAACCTCAGCTTTCTCATATTCTTTTGCAGGTTCCTACATCTGCCCTATATAGCTACCCCCAGCCCTCCCAGTTGCAACAGGTGGGAGTCACATTTGGTCTTCAGCATTGACCCTCCCCAGCCCACGGTCGTGGTTGCATGACCTTGCAGCTCCGTCTACCAAGAACACTCGAGAGTGCGTATAACCTCAGGAAGGATCTGGTCGATGGACATTAGCAGACGTCACAGGAAAGGGCTGCAGAAAGCATTCCCTAGTCTCCACTGCCATCCCTCTGCCACCGGCATTATAAATGCCCAAGTGCCTGATGAAGGCTGAGAGGTGGGAAGCCCAGCCCAGGTGCCCACACATCCCAGATGCACGCATCCTGGATCAGCCAACGATGACCATTGACTCCCAGATCTGATGAGAGAAGGGGTGAGCCACACTAACCCTAGCAAGCACCACGCCTCCTCCTAAGTCCTGGCAACTCGAGTATGTTAACTGTGGTGAGTGGGATAGTTTTTCAAAAAAGAAGAGTGATGGAAATTGAAGATCCATGGAAACCATTTATCTAACAAACGATGGACCAATGAACATCAGCCTGCATGACACTGAGACTAGAAGAACTCTATGGTGTCTAGCTACCACACTGCCAACTGCTCTGAAAAAGATCACATTAGAAAGTCCAGAATAGAGTGAGAGAAAAATGTGAAACAAAACTGAAAATCATAATAAAATCCAGACTTACTGGTTGGATAGAGACTGGTAGAACCCCCAAGACTATGACCCTTAGTCACTCTTCAGATCTGGAACTGAACCCACTCTCATGCCTCAATTTTCAAGCAAACCTCTGAAGGGAGGTATGAAGCCTTGAGATGAAATAGGCAGCATGTATCCTAGGACAAAGCTCAGAAGGGTTAGAAGAAATGGAAACAGGAATCCCAGACAGGAAGTGAGGTAAGTGGTGCTACATTGTGGGGATTGCAATCAATGACATAAAACAGCATATATATAAAACTGACAATCTGCTCTGTACACTTTCACCCAATTCAAATTAATTTTTTTTTTTTTAAAAAGTGAGGACAGAGAGCCTTCACCTTGCATACTTTGGACATGTTGTTAAGAAGGACCTGTCCCTGGAGAACACCACCATGCTTGGTAAAATGTAGGGTCATGAAAAAAGAGGAAGACCCCCAATGATGTGGTCTGACACAGTGGTACCAGCAATGGGTTCAAACAACAATTGTGAGGTGACGCAGGGCTGGGCAGTATTTTGTTATGTTGTGCATAGGGTTAATATGAGTCAGAACAAACAACCATTTACCTCTGGAGAGCATCTTTGTTCTCTCCTCTTGTGTTGCTGTTAAGTGACACTAAGTGACACTGACTTCGTTCCAACTCATACAGACCCAATATAACAGAATGATACAAGACCCAGTCTTGAACCATCATCACAACCATTGCTCTGGTTGAGCGCTTTGTCACAGCCATTGTGTCAACCCACTTTGTTGAGAGTCCTACTTTGCTGCTGACACTCTACCAAACATATCTTCTCCAAATAATGTTGCTGTTGTTGTTAAGTGCCTTTGATTGATAGCGACCCTGTATAGGGTTTCTTAAGAGCAGCTGGGAGGCTTGAATTACTGCCTTTGCAGTTCAAACCAACGTTGCGTCTAGTACATTACCCTGACATTGGGCAAAAGGCAGGAGCCAAGTTGGCTTAGTCTTGGAGTCTCACTAGGGTCCTGGATCTACTACTGAAAAACGAACGGATCACTGTAAAATCACTTCCTGTATCGTATTGGAAAATGAGTTCGCTAGATTGACAGGCACTCAAAATACACAGTGGCCACAACAGTAAGCTTGAGCATACCAACAAGCATGAAAATGGCACAGGACCAGCCAATGTTTCATTCTGTTGTATGTGAGGTCCTGTGATTTTGAGGTGCCTCCATGGTAGCTAACAATAACAACATTGCCAGATAATCAAGCGACAGGGTTCCTTCTTCAGAGCAGAGTAAGGTGCGTGGGTTAGGGACTCAGGTGAGGGTTGTTTGTGTTTGTGGCTCAGGCACTACTTCATTGGTAGCTCATGCACGCCGTTCTGAATGTCCGAATTTTTGGTGTCTACCCCTAACACTCAGAACATTCTTTCAATCCTTACCACCCTGGAGTCCCTGGATCACATCACCAATTTTAAGTACTGGGATGCTCCTTTCCACTTAACTTTTGCTTTAGAATTCTCTTAACTCCTTCTTTACCTTTGGTGCTATATATTATAAAATCCTCTAACTAGTTTCCAAGGAAGTTTCCTCATCATTTTAAGGTTTAACCGTCACAAGGAAAAGAATTCTTCTACTCATCATTCAAGCTTAAAACCATTATCCAACAAACGAGCACAGAAGTCAGTGAATGGTCTGGGAGACATCTTGTGACAGTGAGCTGATTTGAAAGCAAGATAACATCTAAAACCAGTGACAAAGTGTCCCGGAGAATGCTGTTAGAACGTGCAATCACCCCAAGCTATGTTCTGTGCAATATGGTAAGGAACAGAAATTAGTTAACATAATGGCTGGATCATGCAATTATTAGGAAAGAAGCTGCCAAGGAGAATAAAAAAGTATGATTACCTGTGTAGGTCATAGCTTCCTCCTTCTTTATTTCCTGATAGAGGAAAATACAAGAGTAACTTATGTTAGCTTTAGAACACATAAAACACATAAAACCATTCACAATGTTGCTTTCCATGCACAAGGTCTAAATTCTAGAGAGAAGTACACACATTGTGTAAAGTACAGATAGTGCCCAACTCCAATGGAGCTCTTGTATTAGGTTCGAAATGAAGATCAAAAGCTATAAATGAAGATAAAAAAACATAAGAATCTACATGAAAAAAAATGGGTAGACATAAGAAAAGGAGGGGAGCTCATTTAAAAGCACTAAGAAAAGTACCTCCAAAAGTCTGTGGGATTCTGAGTAAAAGTTGAATTTTGGTTAATTTTTGACAAACACTGAAAACATGAGGCTGATAATTATAGCCTCTAGGAATAGTGTAGATGGTGAAGTAAACTATTTGAAGTGTCACGGGTGTGTCTTTTTCCCATTAAGGGACTCGATCAGATTTCACTAAGTAGAGTGGTTTTGTCATCACTGATAAGTGTGCCGTGTTCTTCTGAGGAAAAATGTCTCGGTATAATATTTCTAGTGCCTCTAATACTTGGTTTACATTCCAGACGATAGTGAATTTTTTTTCTGTAAGTTTGGAGGAAAGATCATCAGATAACAGTATATTTTAAAAGATTTGGCTGACAACGCTCAATGACCTTAAGACTGATTTTGCAATCTCAGTTCTCTCTTGGCTGGCAACCAATTCTACTAAGATGTTAACAGAGCTGTTGGCCGAGATGTGAGTGCTTCTCACAGGACATATACATTCTATGATGGAACTTCCATGGACCAAAAGCATTTATGACCCGACAATGGTAGAAATGATGGCTGGCGACGTTGACCATTTTGGGGGGCAAGATCCCTGACTCTACAGGTCACATGTCCCAGAGAGCTGCCTAATTTTATTGCTGGAGATACTGGCTCCAGGCAAGATCCACAGAGATACGATCAATTACACAACAGAAGGCTCTTGTGGATATTTCCCTTTGGGGGCTGGCACACCAGTAAAGGTACCAGCTTCAGGTTTTTCTCCTTCCTGCCATTGTTTTCATTTCTAAAATAATTCTGAGGAGGAAATGGATATTTGTGTTACCAAGGAAAGACATGGGGTCAGTACTCAAACAGTACTGCATCCTCATGAACCAAGGGAGAAATAAGTTGGCGAGTTTAACACTGACGAGCAAGGAGGGAGTATCTTACTCTCCGAGATCCCAAGTTAACAAACTACCCAAATATCTCTAGTTTCTAATGCTATCCACATTGATACAGTGACACATTCTTAGAGACATAGGAAATATTAGCCAATGAAATCCAACTTACTGTGTCATGGGCAGGGACCCAATTGGGGGAGCTCCAATAACTAATACGTAGAAACAATGCATTTTTCTGTCTAAGGTCCCTTAAAAAAGAGGATAGTCTGGTCTGGCTAGCCTAGATTTGACTGTGGACATCAATAACAAACAAATTCCAGAGTTTTCCTGCTGTCTTCACTAGTTGCCTATCAGGAATCAAGATGTGCTAATAGACTAGACCTGTGAGAGAGACTGGAATGAAATGCTCATCAAATATTTTAGCATATTTTTCATGAATGTATCTAGAGCTAAATTTAGAAATTCAAAAGATGTTTGGAATTTACAAGAGGGTTCCCATAACTATCAAAAACTTTCAAAGGCAGATAGCTAGATATCATAATTAATTTTCCAGGTAATGTAAATAGTAATAATATTACACTTTTTGCTTACCAACTTCCAGGCTCTTAGGTTTTGGGTTGCACTGCTTATAACCTTGACAGCTTCTGAGCTCCATCAACTGTATGTGTAGCTGATTTAAAATGCCCCGTTCTACTGTGTGGACTGTATTTGTGAGCTGCAGAGGAGAAAGTCAGGAGAGAATATTTAAGCTCACTTCCAGGTGACCCTATTTTTAACAACCTTCATAAAATGAAAACATACTGTCTTACCTGATAAGGGTCTGTATTCATATCAAAATACTCCAAAAAGCCAGTAGCAAACTCGCAGAAAAGAAAATTATGCGTCTCATTAACAGTACGCAAACACCAGTAGGTGTTGTTGTTAGAACTCGTGCAAGCACAGAAAGATCCCACTATTGGGGAAAAAAGAAAAACAAAACAAAAAAGAATGAAAAAATGTAGACAGTCTCCATTTCATTGGTTATTGTCTTTCTTCAACCTGTATCTTTTTTGTAAACATTGTGATTACATGTTAAAGATCATTGTAATTTTGACCCCTCCTGATAGAGATTTTCTAGGAAACTAGGTGAAAATGAAGAGGAAAAAAAAAGATGCTGTTTCATGATTGGGATCACAGGCTGAAGGTGAAGATGAAGCTCAGGAGTGGTTTCCAAAGAAGGGTAGTGATCGGAGCATGGGAAGAAAAATATCAGGACAGAAAATGCTGACCCATGCCCATTTCAACCGTTCTTTCTCTTGAGTCTTTTTATTGCAGCTGAAATTTCACTTCTTCATTATAAACACGGACACTGAAAGCAACAAGCATCACACATAAAGCTTCAAAAATTCTCACAGATAGTTCTTAGATTCACCCCCAAGAGTGATCTGTGGATTCTTTAGCATCTCAAATTTCCAACTCCATGAATAAGGACATGGGTGGCCTCCCAAGTGCCTTTCCAGTCTAACATTCTGTGTTTTACCTGTTATCCCACCTGTGACACAAATGGCACGGGTACAAGCTTTAAGTCTACCCAGAGGCACCCTGGAAGAAAGGCATGGCAATCTACTTCAGAAAAATCAGCCATTGTAAACCTATGGAGCACACACAGTTCTACTCTGACACACATGGGGCTGCCATGAGTAGGAATGGATTTGAGGACCTTTGGTAGCTGGTGTTTCGTCTAGTTCATGGAATGATAATCCTTCAGTCAGGTGATGTACCATAGAATTTGAACTAGGGTTTCTATATGATCTGAAGAAATACTTTATACAGACAATTAAACCATGTTGTTAAGTGCTATTGAGTCGATTCTGACCCATAGTGACCCTGTATAGGGTTTCCAAGGAGCAGCTGGTGAGCTTGAACCTCCAACCTTGCAGTTCAAATGGCTTTGTAGTCTGCCGTATTAACCCACAGTGCCACACCAGGATTCCTAATTAAACCACATATGAGCATAAATTTCACAAGTGGACAATTACTATCTTTCCATAATCTCAGAATCCAATGGGTAAAACAGTAAATATTTTATTGAGCCATTATTATCTGTAAGCATGGCCCTAGGTACTAAAGTAGAAGTACCACTTTTTTTTAATCTCTTTTGATTATATCTAGAGCTGTTGTTTTTGTTAAGTGTCATTGAGTTGGTTCCGACTCAAAGTAACTCTGTAAAGGGTTTCTGAGAAACAGCTGTAGGGTTTGAACTGCCGACCTTGTGGTCGCAGTCCAGTACTGATCCTACAGTATCACACCAGGAGTCTATACTTAGGAGCAAGTACCTGAAATAAAGCAAAACCAAAATATATTGGAGACAAAAGTCCTCTTTCATTCATTTAGTTATAGAGCACCCTTTTCAAGTATTAACTCTGCCAGGTGCTAGGTACTATGCAAAATAAAGCCATAAGGAGAAAAATCCATGAAGAAATTTGACATTTCAAAAAGAATACAAACAAAAACAATCCTAAGGAACAAAAAGTAATTTTTGACAAAGTAACATGACTTGCCAACATAGAAAGTAATACGATAGTTTCTTCTTGAATCTGTTTAGATTCCTGGTTTTGTGTGGCGCTGTGGGTTAATGCGCTGGATTGCAAAGGCAGTTTAAACTATAAGGTCGGTGGTTAAAGTCACCAGCTACTCCTCGGAAACCCTACACAGGATCCCTATGGGTTGGAACTGACTGGAAGGCACTTTACAACAACAGCTATAGTAGGCATCACTGTCCACATGGTGGCAGTATGTGGCATGTAAGAAGGACGACTTACAGTTCCAGAAGGGGGCCGTCTGCCAGTGGTTGTTGTCATGAGTGAAGCAGGTGAGTCCGGGAAGACTGCACTCATCCCCCTTCCGCTGGCGTTTCTTCTCCTTCCTCTCCTTCTTCCTTCTACGGTTCTCCTTGAAAAGCTGAAGTTTACTGTCTACTTCTTGAGCAGCCTCCCTATTCCAACAGAGGAGATTTTTTATTAACGATCAAGAAGTACTTTCTCACTTAAAAATGTGATTGCTACTATAAACCTCCAACACATATTTGCATACATGATATTGTTGTTAAGTGCCATTGAGTCGGTTCTGGCGTATAGTGACCCTGTATCGGGTTTCCAAGGTGGCTGGTGGGTTTGAACTGCCGACCTTGTGGGTAAAACAAACCTTACAATCCAGTGCATTATCCTGCAGAGCCACACCAGGATTCCATACACAAAGATTGTTGTTAAGTACCATCGAGTCATTTCCAATTGATTGCGACCCCGTAAATAGTATAGTGTCTGAGGAGTGGCTGGTGAGTTTGAACCACCAACCTTGTGGTTCAAGCAACCTTGCAGTCCAGTGCTTATCCTACAGCCCCACACCAGGACTCCATACATCATGATAGATGATCTTTATTTTTACAAAGGGCTCTAAAACCTAGGAGTCCTGGTGTGGCACTGTGGGTTAACACCCTGGACAGCACAGTCAGTTTGAACCACAAGGTTGGCAGTTCAAGCTCATCAGCCACTCTTTGGAAACCCTATACAGGGTTGCTATGGGTCAGAACCAACTCCACAGTACTTAACAACAACAGGATCAATATTTTCTCCCTTCCTTACATTTAACCACTGATGGAAATAAAAGTCCAGGTAACAATACCCCTCAAGCCTGTCACTTAACTTTGTAGTAGCTTGGTACCTATCAGCTGTAAAAACAATTGGTTGGATTAGATGACTTGGAATACATGATCTCTAAAATTCTTTAAAAAATTCTACAAAACAGGCCTAACATGTCTTTCTTTTTAAATCTTAGTTTCCACAAAGAGACTCAAACTGTGTTGAGGCTCAAATACAAAAATTTCCTTTCTATTCAAATTTTACTGTATTTTAAACATGTATATTTCTTGTCATTTTCAGAGTTAACATGATTATAGACTGTTTCATACAACACACTGATCTAATCTAGCATCCACAACTCCCAGTCATTCTTGCACAGAAGGCAGTGCATTGAATACAACATAGTTTGTGTGTTGTTGCCTCTAACGCATGACAACCCCATGCATTATAGGAGCTGGTGGTTCTGATCTATAGAGTTTTCACTGGCTGATTTTCAGAAGTAGATTGTCAGGCTTTTCTTCCTAGTCTTAGTCTGGAAGTTCCACTGAATCCTATTGAGCACCACAGTAATACATGAGCCTCCACTGACAGAAGGGTGATGGCTATACTTGAGGGTCATTTCCTAAATGTGGTAGAGAGTGCTCTCAGAGTCTGAGTAAAGCTCCAGGTAGCTCTGGCTCCAAAGCCTTATTACAAAAGGATAGATCACAGTCCCTTGGTAGACTGTGGGCTTTATTTTCACTGTCTTGAGTTAACTGCCCTCGGAGGTGACTCTACTTCTGAAGCAGCACCAGTTAGAAGCCAGGAGTCCCTCCAGCCTTTCTGGAGTGCATGGACAGTCCTCTACTCTCAGCATCTGTGGACATCAGTGTTACTTACTTGAATGGATGAAGATGGCTCTTCAATTTCTCTTGTTTTTTTACCCCTTTCTCTTTATTGTAATAGCTGCAGGCAAAGGATTAAAAAATGAGTTTTCACAACCTTTCATTTGACCAAACCATTCATTTTATACAAAAGTAGCCAAATTGAAGGAAAATAGTTGCTTTGTTGTAACTATTTTAGATTAATGGAACGCTTTCCTTTTTAGGTTCTGCACTGGTTTATGGCATATTCAATTTGATCTAAATGGCTTAGATTGTTAAAATATAAAATAATGTCAATCAATTATTCATCTTTTGATTGGTTTAAAAAAAAAAAA